TGGCAGTCAGCACAGAGCCCGACGCGGGGCTCGAACCCACAAACCACGAGATCACGACCTAAGCGAAAGTCGGAAAGTCAGACGCTTAACCGACTAAGCCCATTTCTTTTAAATCTTAAAGTTTATTGGCATGAAGCAGCTCATATTTCTTTCTTCTGATCTTTTAAATTACTATGTTATATAACCATAATTTTTAATACTTATAAGATATACTGATACACCCTTTTTTATTCCTGCAATTAATAACTTTCACCCTCTCTCTTTTTAAGTCCATCTTGCTAAGAATTTGCCAATTTTAGCAGTCTTTAAAAAAATTTTGGTCTTACATGGAAAAATGCCCAATGTCACTCATCATCAGGGAAATACAAATTAAAACCACAATGAGATACCACCTCACACCAGTCAGAATGGCTAAAATTAACAGCTCAGGAAACAACAGATGTTGGCAAGGATGAGGAGAGAGAGGATCTCTTTTGCACGGCTGGTGGGAATGCAAACTGGTGCAGCCACTCTGGAAAACAGTATGGAGGTTCCTCAAAAAAATAAAAATAGAACTACCCTAACACCCAGCAATTTCACTACTAGGTATTTACCCAATGGATACAGGTGTGCTGTTTCAAAGGGGCCCATGCACCCCAATGTTTATAGCAGCGCTACTGACAATAGCCAAAGTATGGATGGAACTACTTGGATGGAACTAGAGCGTGTTATGCTAAGCGAAATTAGCCAGGCAGGAAGACAAATATCATATGACTTCACTCATATGAGGAATTTAAAATACAAAACAAGATGAACATAAGGGAAGGGAAGCAAAAATAATATAAAAACAAGGAGGGGGAGGGGCGCCTGGGTGGCTTAGTGGGTTAAGCGTCCGACTTTCGCTTAGGTCATGATCTCGCGGTTCGTGGGTTCGAGCCCCGCGTTGGGCTCTGTGCTGACTGCCAGCTCAGAGCCTGGAGCCTGTTTCAGAGTGTGTGACTCCCTCTCTCTCTGACCCTCCCCTGCTCACGCTGTCTCTCTCTCTCCTAGAAATAAATAAAACATTTAAAAAAAAAAAAAAAAGGAAGGGGACAAAACATAAGAGACTCTCAAATACAGAGAACAAACTGAGGGTTGCTGGAGGGACTGTGGGTGTGGGGGGGAGGATTAGCCAAATGGGCAAGAGACATAAAGGAGGACACTTGTTGGGATGAATCACTGGAATCTACTTCTGATATCATTATAGCACTATATGCCAACTTGGATGTAAATTTAAAAAGAAATAAATAATAAATAAATAAATGAAATTTTAAAAGAGAAAAACAAATAAATAAGTGGAAAAGCCATTCCAAAAAATTTTTTTGGTCTTTATAATATTTTCTAGAACATGTTTGTTTTTATTTAATTTTTATCTGCTCTGTCAATCATCTATCTCTATTGACTCCTGTTTCTTTTGCTTTTTGAGCATATTTTCCTGTCTCTCTGTTGTATTTATTTTTGATTGACCATGTATATGAAAAATTGTAGAAATAATTTAGACATAATCTTATTTTGCTTCTGACTGATAGCGGGATTCACTGGCTGTCCAGTTCATACTAAACTAATTTCAAGAATGGAATTGATATTAGCCAGACCTGATTAATTCACGTTCTCCCCTATGCTGCAAACCAAAGTGTGATGATGAACCGGGACTCTCCCTCATCATTCTCCTAACCCTGTAACACAGCTATAAACGTTCCTCAGACTTTTGCCTCTCACTTGCCTTTTGCAGAATTCAGAGATCATAGAAAGGCAGCAGCCCCAAATATTGGGACTGTTTCTCTGGGCTTTCCTTTTTCACCCAAATCCTAGACCCTTAATTTTTTTCTGCCTTTTTATCTCTTTGAAACCTTGAAGTATTTTTTAAAAAATCATCCATCTTTTCTAAAATGTCATAGTTGGAAAGTTAGCTTAATTTCCTCATCCATTATGAGGATGTGAAAATTCTAAGGTCCTTTTTTGTTTTCTCAATTATTAAAAAATGAACATTTAAAAAATGACCGTTATTTATAATAACCCATTATTTAGTAATTTTTTTCTTACTAACAATTATGATCACAGTATTGCTATTTTGCAAATAATTTGAGGCTATATAATAATTTTAATACAGAAAGTAATTTCCACAAGGGCATGGAATTTTGTTCAATGATGTGTAACCTTGAACAGTGCCTAATGCTTAGTAAGCTCTCAATATTTTTGCAATTAAATGAAAGGAATGGAGTCAGATCTTTGGCACTGAAGTGGGTGATCATGAATTCTTTGTTGATTTACCATCGGATGATTGGTTATCATTTTCCCAAATATATAATGGGATACAACTTGAAGACAATATGTGAGAGATATTTCCTGACGTATTATACAGAGCAAACTTCATCCATTTCGTTTGGGCCTCTAAACGTTCAGCGTATGATTCAAGTAGCTCTCCTTTTCTTGAGAATTTACATAGGAAATAAATCTATGAAAGGTGAATGCATGCTGTAAACAGACTACATTTACTTCAAGTATCAATATATGTATCTAGTTATAATGTGGCTTTGGTGTTTATTATCCACTCTTGGTCACTAGAATATTGATAGCTTTCTTAGGTAAGAGTGACTTAATATCTCAATCCTAGTTTAGTCTGGATCTTCTCTCATTGCTTTGATTTGTGCCTTTGATTCACATTTGAGTCTTGGAATTTTATTTTGGTATGAATATATCTGGTTAATTCCGGTAGTCAGTACATTGCTGATAAGCTAAAATATAAAATTCTTTTTTGTTGTTGTTTAAAATTGCTTCAGAGTTATAAGCCTTGCTAATATATAGCTCAATGTTTATATTTTAACTCCATGGTTATTCCCATAAGCAATACAGGGACTGCTGAAAATTCATATAGCTCTCCTATATCAGTCACTCTGAATACAAGGGCTCAGCTCAAGTGGGATGGTTTGAGAGTCTTTCACAGACTTAGGGAGAAGACCCAGGATAACAAAAAATTTTTTGAGAGCACAAGTGATACCACCATTCATTTTTATTAAGTGTTTTGGTTAAGAAAATAACACATTCAGTAATCAAAAGCCCTTTTTTCATAACTGTCTCTTCTATCCCAGAACAATATCCTTCCTCCAGTTATATTCTCTTAGGTCTAGGGTTGGGTTCGCTGATTAGCTGAGGAATGTTTTTTTAATGTTTGATTTATTTCTAGGAGAGAGAGAGAGACAGCGTGAGCAAGGGAGGGTCAGAGAGAGAGGGAGTCACACACTCTGAAACAGGCTCCAGGCTCTGAGCTGGCAGTCAGCACAGAGCCCGACGCGGGGCTCGAACCCACGAACCGCGAGATCATGACCTAAGCGAAAGTTGAACGCTCAACCGACTAAGCCACCCAGGCGCCCCAGCTGAGGAATTTTTCTAGTCACTATTTCATTCCCACTTTGAGTTATGCATGCATGAGTAATGTAAGGTGAGACTTGGATTCACTGTATGAGTCCATATTTTTTACCCAACTTGGACCCTAACCACATAAGTGCAGTGGTAATGGCACAGCTCTGACCTTTGTAACCTGAACCCTAGAGGCCAGCAATTCTACCTGTTATGAGTAAACTGATCATGGATTTCTCCATGATCAATTTCCCATTGTTGTGAAGAGTGCCAACCTATGTACAAATATATAAAACCTAGTAATATCCATTGTTTTATAATCCAGATTAAAGCCAATATGGAAAACCACCAGGAAAAGGCATGATAGCAAGAAGGTATTCGCAAGAGCCACACTTATATTTGAAGTGGTTTTATATCTGCTCACCCTGGTCAAAGACTGAGGCTCTGATGTACGATAGTAGCCCGGACGTCTCGTCTCTTGACTTTGTTCTCTACTGATTTGGGGGCAGACAATGAATATCTCTATCTAGTCATGGTGATGTCAGTATAATCTGACCTTTGGCCAAGGCCTGGGTGCATATGTGGTATAAAGGGAGCAGTATAATATAATGGTCCAGAGTCCAGGTTGGAGATCAATGCCAAGTTCAAACTGTGCCTGTCCAAGTTACCTAAACTTCCCAAGCTTTAATTTTCTCATTGGTAAAATAGACGTAATAATAGTACCTAACTCTGAGAGGTGTTGAGAGAATTAAATAAAATAATCCGTAACAAACGCTTAGCACAGTGACCAGCCCATAATGAGCTCTCAGTATAGATTAGTATTATGTATATAGAAAATTCTTCCCTTTATAAAACTGAAGATTTATTTTAAAGGCTATAAATTCAAAGTTGTTATATTAACTAAGAACCTGCTTAATTTCGACTTGAGGATTTTTTAGATGAAACTCTTTGCTGTGGTCAAAGGGTGTGTTCTGGTGCTACTTCTTGTCCATCCATGAATACAATTTCTGTGCTCTGTTGTAACAGACTGACCGTATTGTCTGCCCACTCTGCCCGCCCGGAATATGTGAACTATGCCAAGCCTCCCTTACCTATGAATACTTCCTCACACTGCTTTCCTGCATTTCTCTCCCACAACATATTTGAGGCGGTTATCACAATACTCATGGACATTTTCCTCTCTTTCTTCTCTTTCAATAAGAATTCTTAATTGTGCAGACTCAGGATTGAGAGTGACCAAGATGCCTAAACACACACACACACACACACACACACACACACACACACACTCATTCATTCATGCTCATATAGTTCAATTTGGTATAAGATTCAATTCATGGAGTCTTTTCCAAAGCATTAAGGACTAAGCACTTCTTAAAAATGTAAGATTGGCCAAAAAATTTTTTAAGGTTCAAATAGTACTCTCATTGATCTTTGCAAAATTTTTTGGAGACTAAAGGAAACATTATGTAGGACTTTCTTTTGTCCTAATGGAGGATTCATTGCGGAGCCCTGACACTGCTTTTCCCCATTGGGTCACTGTGAGAGTCACATGCTTTGGACATCTTTGAAAAGAATTTTCTGAGGCTTCAGCATCTTATTTGAGTCTCCTGAATCTCATCTAGAACTGTGTTGAATTCTCATCCATCGCAATGAGCAACAGATTCCTGGGCACCTGGAAACTCGTCTCCAGTGAGAATTTTGATGATTACATGAAAGCTCTGGGTAAGAAATGTTCTTTGTTGCTTTGGTTGGGAAGATCATTTTTGAGAAAGCTGCATGACTATTTCTTTCTAATTCCTTTTCCAGGACTCTGGGAAAGTACAATCTTTTTTTGGAATTAGTCATTTATTGTGTAATTAAAATAATTTATTTGTATTTTGATTGTAGACATTTTAATAGATTTTAACCTAAATAAGAGCTGCTTAAATGTATGCAACTCCCACTGATTTCAAGAGTAGTTTCACATCAGTAGTGCTTTGCTTTCAGACCTAAAGGAAAGAAATCTTAGAGGCTTAGTCAACCCATTACCTGGTTTTTCTGAAGGTGAGTTTTACAACAACTGAAGTGCTCATAAAATAAAGAGTTGAATATACTAAAGTGAATAGAAAATCTCAATTTAAAATTTTAGTGTTTAGCTAAACCAGAAGTTTACACTAATTTCAGACTTTCCTGGAGTTGGTACAATGGATGAAGATGGAAAATCCAGTCATTTGTTGTATCAGCTTTATTTTATACTAATTCCAGAGAATGTTTGGGGTGCCTGCATGGCTCAGTCATTTAAGCTTCTGACTTTGGCTCAGGTCACGAACTTGTGTTCGTTGGTTCAAGCCCCACATCAGGCTCTCTGCTATAAGCACAGAGCCCACTTCAGATTCTCTCTCTCTCTCAAAAATAAATAATAAACTTTTTCAAAAAAAGAAAATTCTCCATGATATGAGCACAATAAGTTTGAAGAGTCTTTGGAAACTTCCAGAGCTGTTTAATAGAAACTGATGTCACATGACCCAGATTGCTATATTTGTCAGAGTGCCTGTAGCTTTACTTAACTGTTCAGAAAGTTTATGAGAAAGATTCTACTTTTCGGTAAAATGAGAAAAATCATGTTATATTGCCTAGAAAACTATGAGAACCCATGGGGATAGATCCATACTATGAGGTTGCTTAGATTTATGGACTTGACTTTCAGCTGAGGAAGAAACAAAATACAAGAGTCTCAATAAAGAACTCCCTAATTCTGTCATTTTCAAATTTAGAAATTTGCATAAGATCACCTACGGGTTTGGTAAGGTAGAGATTCTCAGACTCTACTGCAGTGATTATATATATACAATATATATATATATTGTATATATATATACACACACATACATACATATATATATATATATACATAGACAAATACACATATTTCCTTCATGTATTTCTCTCTTTTGACATTTTGTTTTGCTTTTCAGATGCAGAAAAGTTCAAAAAAAGATCAGTTATCTATGATCATTTGTAATGGTACAGATCTTGAAGAAAAATGGATAGTATTTTTCTTACCAGCTAAACTTAAGGGCCACAACAAAATTTCAGAAATGAGAGTCTATTAAGGATGTGTGTGTGTGGGGAGGAGTTGTTCTTTTCTATATTCATAATATATTGCTGAGGGGAAAAATCATAGAACATGATGCATCTGTCCAGTTTCATTGAAAATACACTCTATAATATTTATAAATAAAAATAAAATGTCTGGAATGATCCACAGAAAATATTAGTGATTTTCAAAGACTGTGGGATTGGAAGTGGTAAAAGTGAATGACTTGCACGATTTAGGCTGAACACTTTTATCTTAAAATCTGCAGACATTACTTTTGCAGTAATAAAACCTCATATATTTAAGTCTATGGACATGTATTTCCACAACTTAGTTAAACATGGGAGAAGGTCCTTGGTAGTGAGTAATCCTACCTGCCACCTCCACACCTGAGACACAACTGAGCCTAGAAGGTGGCCATTCAGGGGCTCCGGGGTGTCCCTGTCAGTTAAGCATCCAACTCTTGATTTTGGCTCAGTCATGACTTCACGGTTTATGAGTTAGAGACCCTCATTGGGCTTTGCATTGACAGTGAGGAGTCTGCTTGTGACTCTGTCTCTCTCATTCTTTCTCTACCCCTCCCCACTCATGCGCATGTTCTCTCTCTCTCAAAATAAATAAGTAAATAAACTTAAAAAAAAAGAAGGTGTCCATTCAATAGTCTCTCTAGGTATATCTCTTGGTCAACATAATTCTAACACTATCTTGATTTTCAGGTGTGGGATTAGCCACCAGAAAACTGGGAAACTTGGCTAAACCCCGAGTGATCATCAGCAAGAAAGGGGATATTATAACTATAAGAACTGAAAGTACGTTTAAAAATACAGAGATCTCCTTTAAGTTAGGCCAGGAGTTTGAAGAAACCACAGCTGACAACAGGAAAACAAAGGTAAATTTTAATGTTTCTCTTCAAAGTTGGATCAGTCTGTGGCTTGAGAGTATTAGTTAGTGTTCAAAAGGGTAGACTACTCCATTCTATTGAAAATGAATGTGACTGGGGGCACCTGGCTGCCTGAGTCACAAGACTCTTGATGGTGAGTTTGAGCCCCACGTTGGGAGTGGAGCCTACTTAAAAAAATAAAATAAGATAAAAATGGAAAAATGACTGTATCTCGTGAGACATCTATTATGAAAACAATTCAATACTGAATGAACTGCTTCTTCAATGAACGAAAGTCCAAGCAACTCGATTATGGGAACTTGTCTTTGCAGAGCACTGTAACCTTGTCAAGAGGCTCATTGAATCAAGTGCAGAAATGGGATGGCAAAGAGACAACAATAAAAAGAAAGTTGGTGGATGGGAAAATGGTAGTGGTAAGAATATTTTCACTTTTAAATACAAAAATAATGTTATTTAAATAGAGAAACTGGTTACATATTTTTCAATATATTCTTTTTTTTCTTTGCAATACAAATAGGAAAGAATGGCTAAGAATAAAGTCAGAGTTAATGATTAGGTGATATTTTAATCATGAAGACTCAGCTACAAGTATTTCAAGTATAAGTCCAAAGTTTTAGAAATAACAAAGCCCATCCATTATTTTAGAAATAATGCCTAAAACTAATGATAAAATATGTGTAAATATTACGTCTGAACTCACAAAGAGAAAACCAAATCTATGTTCTAAAAGCAAAAAATTCCTGAACAGCTCAATTATAGAATATTTGTAGCTATCTACATACTTTGCTTTCAAGAATCCAAGGAACTTGAACTAAACCATGTCAATAATTTAAGCTTACCTCATAGGAAACCCTTTAGTCAGCAGATAAGAAAGATGACCAGGGTTACACGGGATGACCTTTAATGATTTATTTTAAGTTTTTGCTTCTGTGATTACTAATACATGCATTGAATATTAATTCATGTAATTTTAAATGTTTTTTTCCTTTAATTTAGAGATTTTTATCCCTAGCTACAAAACAGATTTACATGGGGAGTTAATACCAATATGCAGCCCCAACACAGATCTCTGGGGGAGAGAAGAGGCCATCAGTAGTTTTAAATGTTCCTCAGATGATGCAAATATGCATATAGTTTTGAAATCCACTTTTACTAGATTTAAATGCATGCAAATTATGCATAAAACCTGCCACTTTAAGAAGATTCTTCTATAGTAACATAGATTGACTTCAAAATTGTTTCTCCTATTTCAATGGTCATAATTCTGAATTGCTGGAGACTGACACACTTATGTTCTATTTCCTTCTATGTTTAATCTGCAGAGCTTGTTTTTATTTTCTGTTGCTATTTGCAAATTTCTGTTCTCTAGTTTGAGTTTTAGATACTCAATGAATCTCTCTCTTTTCTTAAGGAATGTAAAATGAACGGCGTGGTCTGCACCAGAGTTTATGAGAAGGTCTGAGAAAATCATTTCTTCACTGAAGTGGCATTTGATCATTTGATGTTGGAAATCAACGGATTTTGTTGGCAAGGCCCGACTACACTGCAATTTGTTTGTTTTGTTTTTGTCTTAATAGATCAGATAGGTAAAGGTCTAAACTGAGGATAATCTAAAATTCAGTGTTGTTGAATATTTACAATTTGCATGCATTTCCTTACAATATTAAAGTGTGTATATTGGCCACACCTAAATTGCTGATAACGTCATTTAGTGATCTGTGAAATTCTCACTTGTGTTGTACTTTGTGTATCGAAATGGCAGTAAAGTAAGTAACTAGATAGTGAAAGGAAGTAAATGTATTGATCAGAGTAGCAGGAGCTTAATGGGAAGAGGATCAGAAGTGAGACAAACTACAAGGATTGGTTTAAGTCAGAATTCTATCTCAGCTAAAAGGGCAGCCTCTACTCAAGCCAATTTTTTTAAATTAAGAGGTAATTTATGGACAGTGAAATACACAGATATTAAGGGTAGAGTTCAAGCCATTGTGCAAATGCATCCACCCATAAAACTCACATCCTGATCAAGATAATAGTACCTTTCCTTAATCCCAGAAGGTTTTCTCAGGCCTCTTCCCAGTCAGTGTCCCACCCTGTCCCATCTCCACCAAAAGCAAGTAGAGATTTGGTTTCTATTATTTGGTTTTTACATTATACTCTTCTTTAATGTTTGGGCTTTTGTACAAAGAGTATTATTTTTAATTCAAATAAGTATACATTTTTTTAAATGAAAAGATGACCATGAAAATTTGTAAAAATCTTTTTTTCAATGTTTATTTATTTTTCAGAGAGGTACAGCATGAGCAGGGGAGGGGCAGAGAGAGAGGCAGACACAGATTCCGAAGCAGGCTTCAGGCTCTGAGCTGTCAGCACAGAGCCTGACATGCGGGAACTTGAACCCTCAAACCGAGAGATCATGACCCGAGCCAAAGTCGGATGCTTAACTGACTGTGCCACCCAGGCGCTCCTTAAAAATCTTAAAAAGAGGAAAACAAATGCTTCCATTCTACACAGTATGAGCTATCACTTTGCGCATGCGGACATATGGTACTCATCTGTAACCACAGTGCTCATACTCTTTTTGCATTCTGCTTTTTATAACTTTAACAAAGATTCTTCCACATTTCAACTAATGATATACCATAATTTATTTAGTTCTATACTACAACTGTTCTATTTTTATGTTATGCCCAGTTGGAGTTATTACAGACTATTTTGCAAAAATTGCCTTCATGTATATATTGGATTCTGCTGACTACTTTTTCTAGGAGAGGGATTAGTAAATCAAAGAATATGGAAAACCTGATGGGTGTTTACTGAATATTTCTGCATTGCTTTCCTGAGCCTTGTTACTGATTAGTGACAATGCAATGAGCAGTATACACATATAGGGCAATGTATGAATGCACATCCTATATTAATAATAACAGCTACCAAATGTTATGTGTGTACTGTGTGCCAAGTTCATTTGCTCTCTATCAGATGATTTACATGCCATGTTGCCATATTTAATATAATTTCACACAACAACTCTAGCAGGTAGATACTATTATTATCCCCATTTTATAAAAGAGGAAGCCAGTGTAGAATAACTTGTGCAAAATCTTGGTAGATGCAGGATTTGCCCCTCTCTGAAGAGAGATCATTTGCTCAATCTTTATTCTATTTTGCCTCCTTGGTGACACCTCTCTATTAGAAACATGTCTGTTGCTTGTAATATCTCTAAAGGTGTGCCATTAGAGATTATTTTTGCCTATTCTTGGATTTCATATAAATAGAATCATACATTATGTGTTTTTTATGTTTGCCTTTTTAAACCTAGCATAAGGTTTTTGAAATCCATCCATATCATTGCATGCATTAGTAGTTTGCTCTTTTTATTGCTAAGTAGTATTCTATTGCATGAACATATCACAGTTTGCTTATCCATTCTTCTCTTAACTGGACTAAATCCAATTTTTGGCCATGATGAATAAAGCTGCTAGAAACATTCGAGTACATGGCTGTTGGTGGACATAGGAGTTCCTTCTTTTTGTATAAATAGCTGGGCATAGAATTACTGGGTCCAGTTGATTTTTCACAGGCAGGAATTGGGACTACTGTGCCCAAGTAATAATAGAACTATTTCAAATGCATTGTATGATTGAGCAAATGAGAAATGTGTTCATATTGTTGGAGGCCAGAATTTCACTGGAAGAAGAACATACAGATATGAAATCGGGGCAGGGGGCAAGAAAGAACCGTGTGAGAATGGATTGGAACAGATGTAATTTTATGGTTTCTAAGGCATGTGTATATATGTGCATATGTGTATTAATTACACGTGCATACCTGCATGCATTTATGTGTGTGTATACACATATTTATGTGTATGTGTATGTGTATATACACTCATATATTTCCTAGTTCTGTCTGCCCAAAGAGCTTAGAAGCAATGACACCTCAGTAGGAATTTGTCCACCACCATCCAGAACTTGATGTCCAATATCATTTCTACTAAAAGGAATGAGGATTCCTTGGAGAAACAACTAATTCTAATGTGAGGTCAGGATACGTACAAGATGAGCCTGAAATTTATTGTTATAACAGAAAGTAAGGAAGTGTTTAAAAAAATAATAGAGGCATGCCACCAAAACATGGAAGCCAGCTTGGAGGTGTTCCCCTTGGTCAAACTGGGACAATTTGAAAAAAAATAATTGAGAAAAATAATAACTTATAAGCCATTGAAGGAAAAATAAGGATCTATGAATCCATAATGATAATGAGGAGAAAGAGAGAGAAGAAGAAGAGTATTCCAAGAGCAGAATGCCATTGGCTGACTGGTAAATGTGCAAAGAATGCTAGAAGTGGATAATCATTATTCAGCCATCACTATAAATAGTGGTTCAGGTAAGAATTGCCAATGAATGCTAAACCAGAGGGATATTTTGATGAGGAGAAGAATATTCTTTTGGTAAGAAACTATCTTAAGAAAATATCTCTTCACAGATTGATGAATAGTTACGAGGGGAAAAAGAACTTAACTTAGCAGTGGAAAAACTGGACAACTCCTTGACTGGGTAATCACCCCTAACATTGCCAATGAAGGGCAGAAGGACATGTGCCTTCAAATTTGATACCCTGAGAAGGAAAATCACTTATGTAGTATTTCAGCCCGGAATCCATATCTGTATCTCATCATTGGGAAATATCAGACAAATCCCAAATGAGAAATGTTCTATAAAAAAGAGGAGGGTGGTGTTGATAGAATTCCTCAAAAATGTCATTGTCGTAGAAGACAAAGAAAGCCTCTGTGGAATATTCTAGATTAAATTTCATTCAAAATATGTGCTGACTAAATACAGCAAGTGATTCTAGACTAGTTCTTGTACAAGAGGTAAAAATAAATGCTCCAAAGGACAATATTAGGTTAATTGGTAAATTGAAATATAAACGGTAAATTAGGTTTGAAGTGTACTATGGTTATATAAGAAAATATCCTTATTCTTGGGAAATACACATTGGAATATTTGGGGGTAATAGGCAATTATATATGCAATTTACTTTTTAAAAATTTCAGAGGAAAAGTTTGTGCGTATGTGTGTGTGTGTGTGTGCGCGCGCGTGTGCACACACATTAGTGCATACATACAGGAAGAGAGTATGTGATAAAACAAACAGGGTAAAACTTAATCAGACTAAAAGCTACATGTGTTTTCTGTGTAATAGTTTGATTCTTACAACTTCTCTGCAAGTTTAAAGTTATTTTCAAGCAAAATCCTTTAAAAAAAGTCCTTGGCAAGTGCTCCTCTGCCTCTGGGCATTCGGTCAACAACACACGTCTGAGAAGCATCAGAACTGAGGTGTGTTTATTTATTTATTTATTTATTTATTTAGGCCCCAGCTAGAGAAACCCATAAAAAGGACAGTTTTAAAACTGTTTTGGGAGGTTGTAGTAATATGACTTACAATAAAATGTATTCCTCAATAAATATAATTGCTCTATTGTCCAAAAATCATGAGCAGTTTCTGCTTTCCTAACAATAACAATGGAGTTGGCACTGATAATGAGGAAGACAAAATAATCGTCTCAACAGGTGATACTGTGACTTGAAAAAGATTTTCAGACAACCAGAAATGGGGCAGGGAGCAAGAGCTCTGCAGTATTCAAACATGGTCTCAGAATAAAATTTTGATTCTCAATTCTTTTTGTTAGAACAAAAGTTATTTTCGATGTAACATGGTGGCTAAGAGTAGTCAGACTGCCCAGTGCAAGTTCCAATTTGCTGCTTACTAGCTATGTGTCATTGGGCACGTTATTTAATCCCCACGTCCCTCAGTCCCTTCACTGTAAAACTGGGGATAATAATAGTACATACCTCAAAGAGTTGTGAGGAATAAATTAATATATGTAATATGCCTGGCACAGGAAAGCATTTGAGAACTGTCTTTTGTTATTCTTGTTTACGTAGTAACATACATGATGTTAAAATAGGTCATTTTATTATACCTCAAAATGAAGAGATTTCACAAGATCTCAGAGCTGTTGATATTGATTTGCACACCAAGTGGCTAAATTTATTAAGAATATTACTTACACCAATTTAAAAACCATCTAGAGACCCACACCCACTTAGTAGCATGCTACTGCCTAAAAGTAGCACTTAGATTCCGTCAACGACAGTTTAGTTTTGTGTTGACTGTAATTTTCTAAGTTTTGACTAAAGATTTACTTTGTAATTTCTTAAAGTCATTCTGGCTTACCTTTTAGAAATATTTCTTCTAAACGAAGTGCTACCTCTCTAAATATGGCTGCACATCAGAATCATCTGGAAGGTTTTAAATATCCCAATACCAAAATTGTAACACATGCCCACTTAGTCATAACATATGGGTGATGGGTGAGACCCAGTCATCATTGGTTTCCTTAAAATACCTCAGGTGATTCCAGCGTGTGGTCAGTTTGAGAACCATTGTGCCAAAGTCT